TTGCAAGCCTTCTTAGCTTGCAATTTTCCTCAAAATTTTCCACTTCTCCTTGATGAGACCTAGGAAGAGGAATGGAAAACTTAAACCGATTGTTGGGCATACGAGATTTACGAGTTTTCCTATGCATAGATACTTCCAAACCAAGTTTGAGATCATCAACTTGCTTCCCTTTAGAGGCACTGGGGCGGGTCTCTTTCTTCTTGTATTCCTTCCTCATAGTGGGTATCGAAGCTTTAGGCTTTTGGCTTTGCTTGGGAACACGTGACTGAAACCCTTCGCTATCTATCATAATTTTCTTGCCAGAGGTGGATTGCTCATTTGAAGTAGTCACATTAGTATCATTTTTTGAAATAGCATTCAAACAAGAAGATATAGAATGACCAAAAATATGACAATTAGTGCACATAGGGGGTTTCCATTTATATTCAACACGAAGAGCAAACAAAGTCATAACAAGAGTATCCGGGTCCGGGATACGAACCATCACCTCATCAATCCAGTTTTCCCTAACAGGCACCTCAAGAAGGACACGAGCAAAAGCCGATTTACCGGCCGCATATTTGCACATATTAGCCGTCCACGAGTCCATAGCAAGAGGTTTACCTATCTTACTGGCAATGTGACTAAGCCCCTCATCATTCCACGCATCATACGGAATATCATGAATACGGACCCAAATAGGAATTTTATCATGACAATTGGAATTTAAGTTTAGGCCCGGTCTCCATTTTTGAATAAAAATAGGGACATTTTTAAAATTCCAAGGGCCATTGTCAATCACTTTTTGAAGGCCATCCACAGAATTAAATTTAAACAGAAAAATTCCATGACCGTTTAGGAGCACATCCTCAATGCCATATTGAGACCACAATTTCGAAGCATAAAAACGAACAACCGGGAAAGGAAGACGTTTACCAACAAAATAGCCACATAGATTCCCAAACAAGATCTCTCACAGCTCTCTGATGGGAGAGGTTACAAAGACCACGGGTATTCCAAGAGGCAACACTCAACATTGGGAAACGGGGGAGGAGGTGGAGTCCATCAGCTCGGGCTCCTGAGGGGACAACGAATCAACCTGGGGGATAAGACGATCATGGGCAACGAAACGGGCGGTGTCGCCATCATCCGACTCAACCTCAATCAAATCATCCTCATCCAGGAGGTCATCCTGATCAAGGGGGTCATCAATGATCACAGCGGGAGCAGAGGGGGAGGGAAGGGAGGAGGAGGAGGACTCAGGGTCTCTAGGGAGAGACGAGTCAGAAAGAGCGGCGAAACGGTTAGAAGAAGGAGAGGGAGCCTTGGATTGCTTCCGGGATAAGGAGGGTGGGTTAGAATGCTTAGGGGATAGGCGGGATAGGATGGAAGGCCGGGGAGGGGAGGGTGGG